TTAGTCACTCACTCCTTGGGAGACAAATGGGACGGGGTAAAATGTGTGAAGAATGAAGCAATTCAGGAAAACTCAGCCATGAAATGGAAAATCAAAATGAAATAAGGGCGACTGTCACTATCTTGGTCTATTAATATTCAAATGTTAATACTTTTCTTTGAGAGCCATCACTGAATACTTACTGACAAGAAAAAATGGTAGCTTGAGAAGAACATATTCCAGAAACGCATTTAACAGGGCTTGAACGTGGCGTCTGCTTAACTCAGAGTAACCGCTGACCAATTCAAGTGCACTTCCCATCCAAATGCATCTTCGAATTTAGGATCCCTTGGAAAAAAAATTCCCCAAATGCATTGCAACTTTTCATAGGGGTGACACATGACCGTATTTTCCAGAGACTCTGATTTAATATCTGAATGCAGTCGTACTTGACTCTCTTAAATAGAGAATCGTTAAACTTGAAAAGAAAAGACCTTAATTTGTATATGCATAAGCCTATTAAAAAACTTTTCTAGGGGCTCTTGTTATGTTTATTCTCTAGAACATAACCTATCTTTGAAGTGGTATATTCGTTTTCAAAAAAGCATTCCCAAGCCGAATAATTAGACTGAAAACAAAAGCTATTCTTTGAGTATATTTCCCACATAAAGCCATGCACGTGATGCTTTGATTCAAATAATGAATGCTCTTACAAAACTTTGTTATCGTTTGAGGTCTATATGCAGACTAGCAACTTTTGTTTTTGATGATCATTCCATCCTGAAACAAGTTCCCGCACCTCCACCCCCCATTAAACCAGAATTAGGAGCACATTTCTATCCAATGGGGCTTAAACTTCTCCACCGCCTGCTTCAGAAGTGAAGACCTCTAGTGGTTATGTTCATTTTGTCTCTGCAAAGAGAGCTCAAAAGAAGACACAATTTCCTGAAGTTTTTCTGGAACAGGAAGGTTGCCTTTGTTGCTTTGATCTTAGCATGTTGTGCTTTTTTTTTTTTATTGGCTGCTGAGTATTAAAAGCCACAGCCTCATCTGGTTTTTCTGCTATATTCTCATATTATAAATCATATGATGCCTTCCAATCTAAAGTAAAATGCTCAGGTCCAAAATACCATTTTGAAATTTGTTTATCATTATAGCTGATAGAAAGATTTCCAAGGGTCTAAGAAAGCCATCCGATATTTGATTCATATGCCACAAACTGCTAACAGTATCTCCATGCACTTCAGACAACACAGCCCAGAATGGAGACACACGCTCATGCTATTTCAGAACCCCCTTCCTAGCACTGCACGAGGCTGCTGTGGCTCACGTAGCAACTGGCTAGGTTACTGCTTCTATAATATAATTCGTACCGCAAAAGCGGCTCTTTTCCAAACATTTTAGAGCAACTGGAGTTGTTTGCATGTCTCTGTTAGGTAATTTTCCTATAACTTTGTGCCAGTTGGTTTCATACTATTTGGTAGAACTCGTCATTAAATCAAGACAACTGCACTTGGTTGAATTTCTCTCATACAGAGAATTATAGGAAAATTACAGCTAGCTGATTTCAGGCCCTCATCACGACGTAAGTACAGGATGTTAGAAAATGAATGCAACCTACAAAAACGGAGTTGTATAATTAAACATCAAGTAGTCCAAGGAATAAAAGTCATAGATTAATTGTCTCTCAGTTCTAGTCAGATCCTTTAAATACTGTCTCACCACCTGAGCATTGGTTCTTCTATCAGAAGCGTGTCGATCCTTAAAGTTGGGAAATTTCAGCTCTTTCGGAGCTCCAATCAGCTGTAAAAAGTAATTGGCATCTTCTTCCAAAGTTTCAAATTTCCCGACAAAATCATAGCTGATCAAACACGGATAGCAGAGTTTGCTGACCTTTTCCCAGTGGATGTCCATGCCTACTGGACGGTGCGAATCCAGCAAATAGTGAATGAACTCTTTGAATTTGACTCCAGAGCCATTATTTAATGCCTCCTCACAGGCATTCGGCCGGTATTTCTTTATGATTGCCTTCCCAAACACAGGATGGTAGTAACTATTGGGGTGTTCAAATTTGTCCCTAAATGCTGATACCAACCTTTCCATGGGATCACGAACAAACACAGCTTTGATGTAGGTGTTTAAACGAGTATGAATCCCTTTTAAGTCAAAGCTGTCGAGCTTTTTCAAATGCTTCCCATAGTGAACAGCATCATGAGAGATGTTGTCCGCAGAGGGAGCCAAGCCACTGAGTACCATTAGAACTCTCTTCCAGTTGGAACAGCCAGCTTTCGGCACTTCACAATATAAGATTTTGTGTTTGTCTTCCACATAGATCCTGGATACCATGTGAAAAAGATGTGACTGAGGGCGACTCACCCCGCCATATTTCTTGCAAAATTCCTGAAGGAAGGACCGGCGTTTTTCTTGAGTTGCATCAGCTCTCTTCCATTTGCCATCACTGACTAAGCTTTTGTTTAAAGGGCGAACATCCATTGGCCACTTCATTTCGCTGAACTTCCTGAAAAGGGTATTAGTCCCTTGATGTCTTTCAGTCAACTTAACTGTTGGTGACCCTGTGGTCCTACCCAAGGCTCGTGCCTCACCTTGTGGGTGGCTGGTCTCTGTTAAGACCCGAGTGGGCTTCTCAGAGTGGAGTAGGAGATTTTCTGTTTTCTCCTTGCGATCCCTGGGCATGTGGGACTTGGGGTTCTGTTAAAATACAGAAGGAGAGATGTTGAAGGCACATTTACAAATGTGGGTATATTGATAAGGAACTTAACATACTTGTTTTAAAATGCTATCTGTAGATCGACTATACTTAGAAACAGAAAAAGAATGTTACTGAGGAGAGTACATTTCATGTAAGCTGCCAGAACAAATTAGCAAAGCATGTGGAATATACATTTTGCAGTAAGCATCTTCACAGAAAACGTAACGATGAAAGATGGAATCCATGCATTGTTTTGAATCAAAGCTTCACATTTTACATTACATATATTTGGGTTACTATTACGCTATTCATTTAATGTTAACATGATGCATTACATTAATGGATTTTTCTCATACTAAATTATCTGAACATTATTGGGATAAAACTACCAGTTACTGCTTTGAATCTATGAGCACAGTGAGTTTGCTATTGTTTTTGTATTGTCTTTGCATCCGTAGCAATCAATTACATAATCTTACAAAATGCCAAAAAAAAAAAATTCACAAGGTGGAAAGGAAAAGGAATCTTCTATCTTAGCTTTGCCTATAATGCAATAGAATGTAACGCCATCATTCTGTAGGTCAGTGATTCTTCAGCTATTAAGAAGTGTGTTACTTAGTGCATTTGAATGTAGATACAAAAAGTAGCTGCATTTGGACTGAAATTTTTGTTGTTTTGGGGAGGCATTCTGTAATGTCCAGAACAGTTCCATGTTGTAAATTACAACTTAAAATTGAAGCAAGGCCAATTTAAAATTCTAATGACCACTTCAAGTTTCCAAGCACTTGCAAAATGTAATAGATTTATCTGTTTCCCTTAGAAAGCGTTTTATTTTTCTAAGCTCATTTATCACAGTCGTTTCATAACTATAGTCATACTATCATATAATTTCATTCACGTACAAGACCATCCCTCGTTCCTAAGTGAAGAATGACTAAGGAGTCCAGAAAGGTCTCCTTGATGTCCTGCTAAATAAAACTGCCCAACGCAGGATGAGAATTTAGTTCTCTTGTCAGTGGGATGAATCACCTGATTTATCATCGGCTCTCTATCTGACTACATCCTTTCCACAATTCTACTGTCTATAGCAATTGCTCTCAAATATTTGTTACATGAAAGAATGCATGTATGAACGGAATTAAGTCTTCAAGGATGATTAGGAATTTTCTGGCAAATTGAGCAAAAGAGCACTGTGTGTGGGAGGCACCTCCAGGCATCATGGTCCTCCCACCAGGTGAGTTTTAAGGAGCAGTGCTTCTTCCTAGTGGAAGAAGATTGTGTAACCCCTGATCACCGCGGACCAACTGGCACAGCCCCACCAAACAGCTGCCTACGTCCTTCACTCCACTGAGCCAACTCTTTGGGGTTTCAACTCTAAAACCATTGGTCTGCTGTCTTCTCAGAGACTGCCAGGAGGACTCTGAAGCCTCGAATCCCTCTTTACTCTGATCAACAACTTGTCGCCCAGAAAGTGTTCACGTGTCATATGAAATTTGACTTGAGGTTTGACAGATCACGGGGGTTACTGCTAGACTGTGTGGGAAGTGCTTAGCACAGTCCTGAAATCAAGCTGCTGCCATATTTCTGCTGCTGTTTCTTCAACAACTACAGCTAGAAAAAACGCTTGCGATTATCATTGTCTAGTCCTAGTAGTTGCTGCAACAGCACTTCATCCCAGTGACCTAGTGAATCTCGTTTCCCCGGTTGTCCATTATTACCCAGGCTGCAATTTGTGTTTCTACATATGACCCTATTGATCATCTCCCTGCCTCGTTAATAAAAACAAAAACAAAAACAGCCTTCCACTGTGTGCCCTCTGGACCTTCCGCTTGCGGTCATCAAACTCCCCTTTAATCTTCTGGAATGGACTTCTGGAATGTTTGTTTCCCATGACTTTCTCTGACGAAACCTGGTTGGCCCCAGAGACTCTGCTTCCCTTGCACTTTTTTCGAGCAGATGAAGCTTCACTTTTTTCCCAACCACGTGACCCTCAGGCCAGAAGACAGGGAGCTGTTTCCTGGGACCTCATCATCGCGGCTTCCAGGACCCGCCCCCAGCAAAACCGCCTGCCTCCGTGCCGCACATGCGCACAGGCGTCCTGCTCAGCCTCCCTTTCCCTCCCCTCCTGCTGCCACCTGCCTTTTCCCCCGATCCTTCTGCTTGATGCACTGAAGACTTTAGCTCCTGGCTCAGACTCCTGGTCTCCACTCTTGTCCTTATGTGTTGTGACTGCTCCTTGACCACCTCGCCTCTCATAGAAGTGTCCTCTGTGTTGCACAGACCTGGCCATCACCAGAGCCTGCCCCACCTCCATCATCCCCATGACCCTCCTCGTCTCACCTCCGGTTCATCGTTACTCCCAGTTTTGCACTTTTCTGACCACTTTTCATCACTATGTTATTCAGGCTTTTGAATAACAGCCAGCATGCCTAGGGGCTCTCAGAAAGTCACCTCTGTGGGGAGG